TAATGTATATTTAGTCCCTATTTCTTAACTAATGTTGTATTAAGTATTACAATTGAATGAGTAAAATGAAAATAATAATACAATATTAATACTAAATTAGTTAGTTTGAAACTAATACGAAAATTGTCCATAATGAATAATACATAATTATATAAGGTAAAAACAAAGGTTGGTGGGTGCATCAATACAACATAACAACTAAGTAACTAAAAAAACTCATAACTCCAATGCAATATGTTGACCAAATGTCAAACTAAAAAGTCCAAAAGTGACACTTCAAACCCATGACTCTAACTAACATATCTCAACTCTAGAAAAGATTTCACATGTTCTTCTTATGTGTTACGATTATATTAAGATTTCACAACTAACCTTGAAATTGGGTCTTATTAAGATCTAGATCCTTATGATTCTTGCATAATTGTGATGTCTCCATATTAGTCTTAGTTTTTATCCCTCCCTTATTTACTTATGTGTTTAACTTTGATTTGCTTGATGTGAACTTCCTCCTGAATCTTGGTTAAGAAGATTTGAATATAATTTTGTATGTCATTCTAGAGGTTAAACCTTTACTCTTACTTTTCCTAATTCTAGATTTTGGTTCTTCAAATTTCCTTTCATATATAGTAAAAATTGACATATATTATTGTACACAAATTAACATGATTAATTTTGAGGAGAGATTTACCTGTGTAGTTTTTTGGTATCATGAATAGATGAACTATCACAATCTCTCCCATTAACATTCTCTTCATCTTCCTTACTCCTAAATTGTATAAGCCTTTCATGAGGTGTCTTACAAAGTGGATATAGGTTTATTAAGCATTTGTTCTTGGCCACAATTGTGACAAATTTATTGGACAAATTTGTTGTGTGTAACAAATTGCATATGCAACATTTTTATAATACTTATGTACATATTCTTTGCCTACTCTAATAAGTTAAAAAAATAACATATACAAATATGATCTTTAAGGTTAACTACTAACTTTTCCATGCTAATTAACATAAGTAACTTCAAACTTACAATACTTAGACTACACAAGTAGCTAATTTTCGTTTTTCTCAACTTTCTTAACTAACTTGTTTCTTGGCTTTTACATATATTATCAAGATATTTGGACTCTTGAAATTGCAAACCTATTTTTTAAATATGTCTTAATCCACTGCAACATTGAAAGACACAACAACGATATCAGAACCGATGGTTTGTGTGGTGACTAACAATTTAAGAGTGATCATTGTATTGAAAATCTTCCTGATAGTGGGTCATGTAAATGTGCCCCGTTATGATGAACAACGGTACATGGAATAGTCACTAGTGAGCTCAAGAGGGATGTACCAATGTGAAAGGACTCACACTTGAGGGAGAGATATTGTTGAGTAATCCAAGTATTAGTTTGAATCCCACATCGAGTAAGAATGATAAAGTTGAACAACATGTAAAAAAGTATGACCTATAACTTAATACTTTAATGTTTTGGGTTAAAAGTGTTGTTAATTCCTTATATGGGTTGGACTCATGTCTCATTGGTGCTCTTTCATTAATTTTTTTCAACTTTTCCATTTTTGCATTTTATGCTTAATAGTATGCTACTTTTGCATTGTCATGGTCATATTTCTTATCAATTTTTTTCATGAAATTGCTATACAAATATTTTATACATAACCTATACTCCAAACCTTATAAAATTCCATAAAAAACGGGACAATGCATTAAAAAAATTAATTAGTGTACATTTTATCAATAATAATAATAATTATTATTATTATTATTAAATTTTTTTATACTTTTTTATCAATTAAATATAACATCCATTAGTTAGTTTTGATATTGTTGATATCATTTAACAATAAATTCAATATCCATCTCCAATTTTCTTTTCTAATTTTTCATAATTACAATTGCAAGTGGAAAATTCTAGTAATTTGGATGTTTTCCTATAACTAGCCATAAAAAGTAGTTTTCAAGTGGAACCCATCAATATTAACAAAAGGTACAGGACCTATAATAAATCCTTTCTTGTAACCACCCAAAATACATATAAATAAATTCAGTCTAGACCAAGTTAATTGAATCTTACATGTAGTTCTTCAATGTACCCTTTTTAATTTAACCATATAATCATATAAGAAGGTATATTGTTTATGTTTATCTCTCTTAAGTATTTCTTTTTGTCTTATATTTTGCTTTCAAATCCCTCTATAGTGATTCCAATAATATATGATCTCTTAACATTATTGATAATTTTATTTAGTTGTCATATTTCCCATGTTTCTATATTTTGTTAATCCTAACTTTGAACACTCATTATTTATTTATTTATTTTGTTAGCAAAACCTGTATAACATGATGCTTATCAATAAGTATTTGCGAGTTAACTCGTTAACTCAAACAAATTTGTAAGTTGAGTGATTGTTCACGAGTTAACTTGTCAATAAACTCATTTTTTTATAAATTCGTGCAAATTCGAAGTAAACTTGATTAAACTCGAGCTAAATTGCGAGTTTATTACCGAGTACAACGTTTCTTCTTCTCCGTGTCAGATGTTCTACTCTTCTCTCTCCTTTGCAATGGTTTCTCTCCTCCATACAATGCTCCTCTCTCTTTTGAATGCGATGGGTCTCTCCTTCGTGCTTTACGCGTGTCTCTCTCCGTGCATGACGTGTGTCTCTCTCCGTGCGTGACGAGTTTCACTCCTCTGCGTGTGACTCATCTCGCTCCTTCTCACGCAACACGTCTCCTTTGTCCATGGGATGCAGCTCTTTTCAGGTATGTTAAGTTATGTTATTAACGTGTCTCCCTTCCTTCTCCGTTGGTTTCATTTTTTATTCTTTTTTTTATACATTTGAAATTTCAATTTTTTTATTAAGTTTTTTAATTTTTTTTATGAATTATTTATTAAAATGATGAAATGTCGATAATTAAGACTAATTGTTTTTAGGTTAATATATTTGTTGAAGTACAAAAATATATTTAATAATTATATGGATTAAATATTTTGGTTAAATTCAAAATAATTAAATATAATTATCTTTTATATGAAATAGACTTATAATAATTTATAAGTTGAATTTACAAATCAAATTTAAAAATTGTCACGAGTTTACTTAGACTCTCAAGTTTGATCAATTTTTACCAATAAACAAACTAACTTTTTTTTTTCACTTAAACATGTCAAACTTTAGGTTGTTTTATTTAACACATTATGTTTCATAATTGTTTGTTTGTAAAGAAGAAAAATTTATCCTTTAGATTTGAACTTTGAAACTTTGTTCCCAAAATCACATCTACCTCACAAATTAATTCTTCATTATTATAAATAATGTTTTTAAAAATCAAATTAGTCATTAAACCAATTAATACGTGTTCAAGATTTAAAGTTTTAATTAGGGTGCAACTGAAATTAATAAAATAATATTTTTATAATATGATAAGTATATAATAAATTTACCAGTAACACGTTTTCTTAAAAAAAATATAATAAATGTTATTATCATAATTATTCTAAATTATAATAAAAATTATAAATATAAAATATATTAAAAAATATAAGATGAATAATTATTAAAATAAGATGAAAATATGATAAAATATTATTATTTAAAATTAACATAATTAATATAAGATAAAAAAATAATAAAAGAAATTAAAATATATTATATCTTTTATAAAAAAATATTTTTTTATCTTTATTAAATGGATCAATAAGTATGATATTTAATACAATTATTAAGATATTTATTTATTTATTTATTTCATTACTCTTAACAATTTATTTGGCTTTCTTAATTATTACTTCTCTCATTTTATAATTCTTTTTCCATCATCCTTTACATTTACATATGAACTTGTATTATCATCGATTTTAAACTCATCATCTTTATCTACATTTCTAATTTTTTTCCACTAAAATCTAATTCAATATCCGTGAATGATCCATCATCATCCTTAATATCATTAGTTTCTATTTCAACCTTATCACCCTCCACATCACTAACCTCACTACTCTCAATTCCATCCTAACACATTTCACACTGCCACCCTTCATTACATACCGAGGAATTGGTTAAAAAAATATTAATTATCTCAATTACACTAATAATATCTTAAATATAAATTTCTACTTCATACATTCAAGCACAGCTTAAAACGTTAAGATACAGTGTTTGAACTTAAAATTTTAAAGTCATATTATAAGAGAGGTTGTTGTTATTATAATACTTGAATTATATTATAATAAGATAAACAAAAACTCTAAATATCGATAATTTAAAAAAAAATTCAAAGAGATGACTTATTCGTATATTTAAGATTTTGAAAAAAATTATAAATAAAAGTAACTTGAATAAAATATTTAAGAATGGTTAAGAATCAAATATTTTTTTAATTATAAAATATATTTTTTTCAATTTTTTTTTCTAAAAGCTCTTTTAACACATTCTATATTGTGTGTGTGTGTGTGTTTTTAAATGCAATAATTTTGAAAGTTATTTTTATCATTTGTAATATAACAAAAGACCGAGGAAAAAAATTATGGAGGTGCATAATAGGATTGCTGAAATCAATTAGTGAAACAAACCAGTGATTTTTCCAATAACCCTGGTCTTACGTTTATTATCTTTTTGTTACCCCTGTTCTTGTGTTTCGTCCATAATGTAAGTGTTACTCCCTTTCTCTCTTTCCACAACCAGAATCGAAGTGAGATCCCACACTTTTTTGTTTTGTTTTGTTTTTTTTTTTAATAATCCTAACGTTGTCTTCGACCTATCGTTGCACGGTTCAAGTATTTTTGGGCCCCCTCATTTAATTTCCACCCTTTTTGTTCTGTGATATTCTCGTTCATTTCTCATCCTTGGTTAAAAGGTAGAACATTTAACTTTGGATCAATTTTTAATGGGGTTCCTCTTCTAAATGGGTTTGCTTTCTGCGGTTGCACAGTGTTTATCACCGTTTTCTGGTTCCTCTTTGTCTGAGTTTCGCTCATCTCTGAAGAATTATGGCTGCCAATTTCTGGACATCATCTCATTAGTATGCTTCATCTTTCTTTTCCATCACAAGATTCCTTCGTCCTCTCTTTGTTTGCTTTTGCGTTGTAATTTGGGATTATTGGGGTTATGAACCTTGCAGCAAGCATCTTTTGGATCAGGAAGATGTGGATATGGTGAATACACTTGACAAGGAAAAGGGTATCACACTGGAGGATTTTAAGCTCATTAAGATGCACATGGCTAATTGTATGATCTCTGTTTTTATGTCTTCCTTCAATCTCTATCATACTTGTATTTTTACCCCTCATGCCACAGCACTGTTTTGTTCCCTAACTTTTTGATATTGACTTTTGCTTATAATTATCATTATTTTACTTGTTGATGTGTTGTCCCATTCTGAATTTGTAGTTGTAGTTCCTGCTGTCATCCTTAGGTTTGTGTGCTTGGGATTGGTTTCAAAGGGAATTTCTTACACTGATCATTGTTCTCTTATACGCTTTTATGGATATTGTTGCATGCTCTTGTATTTAAGAAATTCTGAAGGATGTTTGTAAAATGTAAATTCTAGGGCTATCGTAATTGATATCCTTTGTTTGCAATAGAAGTGTTTGGTTTTTATCATTTATATGTGCTGATTTTCTTCTTTTCCCTTTCTTGGTTGCGCAGATATTTTGAAATTGGCACAACAAGTAAAAGTGAGGCAGAGGTGTGAACTGTATTTCTTAAATTGTGCAAGTAATTTCTTTTATGTTTATATATCTGTTACGTTTTAACGTGGGAAGGGTGGGGGCAGGAGTATAAAGTGAAATGTATATTGTATTAATAGAGAAAGAATTGCATATTGGTTTGATCTTTCTGGCTTAAACTTCTGTGCTTAGTCTGCAACGCATTAAGGGGAAAAAAGGGAATTGCCACACTTCTTTGAGGCCAAAAGCCCGATGGACAAGGAGAATATGAAGTATTTGTATCATGTGATTCTTTTCCCAGCCGTGTTTAGTTTGCCTGCATTTTGATTCTCCAATAAGCAAGCATTGGCCTTTAAGATTGTATGACATCGGATGTACTGTAGTTTTGAATGCGTAATTTTTCAGCATTAGGAAGTCTTAAAAATAAACTGAAAATTAGGATAAGTAGGTCATAGTGTCATATCATTACTAAACCTCCCATCCTCTTTTTCTGATCAAGGTGATATATTGATATTTATCTGGCTTGTTTGTGATGTAGGCTTATGCATGTGTTATACACCCTCTTTCTAGAGATTCTGCATACCATGGCTAAGGAAATAGAAATCAATAACCACTCCCAAATGCTATGACTGCATAGCTACAACATGTCAATTTACTATGTACTTGGTGGATTTCTTTTCTAAAATTTTAGTTTAATTTATGCATTTATTTATGTTTATGGAAGTTGCTTATTTATGCCAAATATGCATATACATGGTATTGATTCATGTTGTAATTTCATAAGTCTATGATGACTTTGTTTGATCAATTACGGATGGAACAGCTAGACTTCTAGTGATGATCATTTACATTTGAAAAGGAAATATAACACCCATATTCGTGTATGTAATCATGCTTCCGTACATTTCCCCATTCATAAGTGCAGATGAACATGTCAAGTAGTTCTATTAGAATTTAGGAGTGTACTCAACCAATAGTGATACCACTTATGTACGTCATATGCAAAATGTCAAGTTCTGAAATTTTCTCATCAAAGAATGATAAGAAAATTTTCAATATTTTTTTTCTCAAAACTTTAACATCTTTTGCTATTTATTTTGTGTTAAATTCCATGACCATTTCTAATTTGTTGGTTGGTCTTTCAGGGTTGTGGCCACAGCAGTTACATACATGAGGCGTGTTTACACCAAGTATGTGTCGTGAACTTGTAAACTTCTAGTGTTAGTGTCGGGAAAAGTTTGTCCCTAAATGGATGGAACTTTTGTCTTTCTTTTAGATTGGGGATAGCTTGTACATTATACAGTATTTATGATGCTTGGAGTCTGAAATGCACAGTTTCTGCAGTATGTCATAATTCTTTTTCCTTTTGATAGCAGGATTTATCATAGATGCAGACGTTTCTTTTTGGGTTTCATTAAATCCAATGTCCATACTAGTACTACTATTTAGGTTACCGTTCTGCCATTGTGTTAACAAAACTATAATACCCCGCACATTCTGGGATCTGTTGACTGCAACTACCTCATCAATTGCGGTAAAAAAGATGGTGAAGTTTTCAGTATAGGCCACTAACTTTTTGATTTTGCAAAGAAAACCACATTGTGCGTAATAATATTTTTTCCAAATGTAAGTTTAAGCAGACAACTGCTGTGTATATCATATTTGAAATTGGATAAGTAACATGTTGACCTTTATTATACAAAATGCATCTCTAATATCCAATTCGTTTTGATCAAACAAGGGAATAAACAGAAGAGCAAAATAAAAGAGTAATTGATCCCATCTTCTGCACCTTTTTTTGTTAAATTTGATCAAATTTGTTTTTTTTTTCTTGGTTGCTGCTAACTTGAATAACACTCCTTTCCCTGAAAAAATTATGTTCTTAGCAGTTTTTTACTTGTTGTCGTTGTTGATTCTAATTTTTTTGTTTTCTTTTAATAGAATTTGAATTTACGTGCTTGTCTTGTTTGGATGTCCAGTCTGTTTTCTTATTCATAATACTATCTTCTTCTGACCCCGAAAGTAGTTGTATATGCCTAATATCATCAGTAAGTGTCAACTGTTGACTATGATAATTTTTTCTTCATTTTAAGGAGGAGTATGGCAGAATATGATCCACGGTTGGTAGCTCCGACATGCTTATACCTAGCATCAAAAGCAGAAGAAAGCACAGTGCAGGCTCGGCTTCTTGTATTTTACATTAAAAAATTATGTAAGATTCAACCTATAATTTTATTTTGCTTCATGTTGACTTCTGCACTTAAACTAAGTAATTTGTTTCCAAAATTCTCCTGGTACTAAATTTCCTTTCTATTGCTAAAAGCACAGTGATTTGGTATGCAGATGCTGATGAGAAGTATAGATATGAAATCAAGGACATACTTGAAATGGAAATGAAGATTTTAGAAGCTCTTAATTATTACTTGGTTGTATACCATCCATACCGTTCACTCTCTCCGTAAGTGTTTGATAAAGATTGTTTGTTCGTTCAGTTTTTGCACTGGAGTGTGGAAATTATGAAGAAACAATTTGGTTCATACTTTTCTGGGACCAGAAAGCTTACAATTTTAAGGGTTTTGTCCACACAGCTTTCACTAATCTAATCACAGCAAAGAGGAATTAAAAAGAGAATAAAAACTGAATCACCTAGTTTAGGAAAAAAAGTTATTTTTTCTTTCTAAATGACAGATTAACCTAATTAACTAAATAAGGAAATAAGATATAGACAAATTAAAAAGAGAATAAAAACTGAATCACCTAGTTTAGGAAAAAAAATATTTTTTCTTTCTAAATGACAGATTAACCTAATTAACTAAATAAGGAAATAAGATATACAGAAAAGAGGAATTAAAAAGAGAATACAAACTGAATCACCTAGGTTAGGAATAAAAAAGAGATTTTTTCTTGCTAAATGACAGATTAACGTAATTAAATAAATAAGGAAATAAGATATACAGAAAAATTTCATAAACATTTCACTATCAAAAAAAATTCACAAGTATTCATTGTTCCTTTCTTTCTCAGTCTTCCCATTTCCCAACTGACAGCAAGTCAAACAAATACCAATAATGAACATTTTAGCAAATTGAATCCTGTCATGTTAAAAATTGGTGACAGAAGAACTGTTCCAACATTCGCTATTTTGATTATATTCATTTATGATTTCGCATTGACATTATAATGATAATTCTCCAGGTTGCTTCAGGATGCAGGTCTGAATGATCTAAACATGACCCAACTAACTTGGTAAGATCAATTTCTAAATAGGTTCCCTTTCTTCTGTCCTTATCTTACGTTTCCCATTTTATCCCCTTGTCTCTGTTTCTACTATTTCACCTATCCTAATTATAAATGAAAAAAAATTAGACCCTTGCATTTTTTTTTAATAAAAATGAGAGGGCTAAAGCATCACTATGTTGTTAGTTATCCCAACTATGTTGGCAGCACAAACAACATCAATCATATGCAGCACCTCAAAATAACATAAAAAAGAGAATACAAACAATTGAGCCATCTCTTACGAAGCTCCCAAGGAACAATATATCTATTAGATCGAGCCTAAATTACAAGTTGTGAATAACCCTCAACCCATATATAACTCCAGCTTCTAACAATTGGAGTTTCAATAACGAAGAATCACCCCCATCACCTCAGCATGCAAGGCACCACGAATACCAAGATATGAAGAAAAATATCCCATAATGGAAGAACGATGATCTCTAAAGTTACCACCACATCTAGATTTACCAGGAGAGCCCTTCCTTGCATCATCAATGTTCCATTTAAACCAATAGCATGGAGGAGGAAGGCAGAAAGCAGGAACATATGATATAGCCTTTCTAGCATGTATATCAAACCCAAAGGTTTTAAGAATGATAAGTCCTTGAACAAAAGATTTCATACAGCCCGTACAACATACATGGATTTTTTGAGACTTGGATAAGCTGGAAAGAAGCTATCAAAACAGACTTTATTTTTGGCTGTCCATATGGCCTTCAAGATACCAAATAAAGATGCCCGAATAACACTAATAGTTTGAGCACTCCAACGCCTTTGTAATGTTCGTGAAAAAGGCTACCAAGGCAGGCCCAAAATCGCATAGCAAAAGTGCAGTCAAGAACAAGTGTTGGGCAGTCTGAGCGGCAGCTCCAGAGACGACGATGAGAGACAATAATCATACCTCGCCCGCTTAAGTTATTATCCTCAGTAGGCAACTTATTATGATAGATTCTCCGAATAAGAAAAGATGTCGAAGGAGGTATAAATTTACTCCACATCGAAGTTGAGAAATTTGGAAATTTGGAAGATTAGGCCTAGGCAAAAGTGATTGGTATGCAGATTTAAGACTGAGAACCCTATTGGCAACACTGTTCCATCTCAGTTTATCCTCAACTTCAAATTTAGGGAGGTTTATATCAATAGCAGTTGACAAATCAGGGTTATTAGAACTAAAATCAGGAGGAATGGAATCTGAATTGCTTCTTCCCTTAAGAAATGCTCTTTGTTGAAGAGAGAATTTTGGCAGCAACGGAGCTAACTCTGCCGGCTAGAATCTTTGTAATAATTTAAAATATAAAATTGGATAGAGCAATTGGCCTATAATTCTCCACCCTTTCAGCACCATTCCCTTTAGGAATAAGAATCAGCAAACTAGAATTATAATTTGGTGTATCAAATTAATATTTAAAAAAACTGAAATATTGCATTGAAAGCATGCTGAAAAATGATAGACCTATAAGTTTGGTGAAAATGATCACCAAAACATAGCAGAAGACAAACTATACACTGCCTGTCAACCTCTTTGAAAGTAGGCAACTGAGTAAAGCAACATTATCAGCATCATTAACCAGACTAGAAATGGTTCTGTTTGTAAGATCCAATTTGGAGCTTGACACATACAATTAAATATTGGAGTATATGATTTTGGTATAGCCACTTGCTCAGTGAGAATACTATCCTCATTTTTTAAGAATAGAATCTGTTTTGACACATTTCTGACCTTGGCAACTTGATGAAAATATTGTATTTCCGTCTCCATATAAATGCCAATTGAGTTTAGATTTAGCCTTCTAAAATTCTTCCTCAAACATTGATACTGTATCTATTCCAGTAGTGCTGATTTTTCTACACCCAATAGATTAGGCAAAGGGCCATGACTATCAATGTTCTACTGAACCTGTTAAAATTTTTCCAAAGCATCAACAACCTTGGAATGAACAATTACCAATTGTATACTTGAACTAGGCAGGGAAACAAGAAATAATTTGATTGAAAACAATCACCCCAATTACTGAGGTTAGGTTATGAAAATAAACAAAACTGTACATCCAAATACTCCACAAGGTAGACTTGACACTAGGGGAGAATAGGGGACAAAGACAATAGAGACTCAATAGGACTATAATACCATTTAAGGCACTAGAAGGTATCCTAATAAAGAGATATGCGGTAGTTAACATAAGTTCCTCTAGTAGGTATTGGGAACAAACATTTGGAAAAAGGAGAGCTCTTTAACTTATAGGAGATGATAAATTTTTATTTTTGCAACCCTGTTTTATTGGGGAGCGTTTACACATGTTAATTCATGGACAGTATCATTATGAAGCAAAAATTTAGAAAATTCATGATTCATATATCCAATACCATTATCAAACTTTTTTTTTTTTTAATATTTTTACCAAATTGATTTTTGACAAGATGAAAAAAGTAACAAAGATTTAACAAGCCTCAAATTTACTTTTCATAATGTATTTCCATGTGATACAGGACTTTTGTCGATAAAAGTAACAAATCATTTTGCTCCAAAATAGATTCCAAGTCAGGTCCCGAATTATCAAAGTAAATTAAATCAAATGAGGAATTACTTTTATTTTTTCTAACAGGATAGGATACATACTGGTGCTTTGCCAATTAACAAATATCACATATGAACAACTCAACAAACTATTTGGTAAATAAATGAGGAACGAGGATTTGTGTTGATTGAATGAGAATGTTTAAGACTTCTATGATGAAACCATATTTGGGAACTTGCCATGTTTTTGATGTTGCTTGTTGGCTTATTACTTTTGTTTTATTCTGATCCTTGGAATCTAAGAGATACAATCCACTCTGCTCTTTGGCAATTACAATCGTCTTTTCATGACAGTCCTGAAAAACACAATAAGAAGTGAAAACTGTCGCAGAGCAGTTCAAATCTTTTTGCAAGATTTTGGACAAAGATAAAACTATTAGCCAGTTGGAGGACATGTAAACATCTTTTTACACAATAGATGGATCTAAAGTTATATTCCCGAATCCACACATGAGCACACTATCACCATTCACAATTGTGATGAGTTGTTCTCTTGTCGTTTTGAGATATGAATTGAAGAGCATAAGAGATAAAGTAATGTAATTTGTTGCTCGTGAATCAAGAATCCAAACACCCACATAGGTCCAACATTATTGAATGAACGCTTACCTTTTATGGACGGGCTATACAATCTAGAGGGCTTACTCATTTATTCAATCATTGTTCTAAGACGATCAAGTTCCTCCTTGCAGGTTTTGATATTAAGATCTGGTGAAACAATGGGGAAAAAGGAAAGAAAAACGAAAAAAAGGGAGGCAATGGGTGTTGCAAGAATATACCAAAACCATGTCTAGCAATGGAACTAGTTTGAAAAAAAGAGAAAATATTAGATCTATTCAAACAAAGCCACATGGGAAGTCACCTCCCCTTGGAATGGACTCGAGGTCCCGATGTTGCTGTATGTCGTGATAGTGCTGCATGTGTTAATACTGGTGGTGGTGCAGTTCTCTAGCCTACCATCGGCCTCAATGGAAGTAGTTGGGTGTTCAACAAAAATAGTTTTGCTGCTAGACAGCCCATACAAAGCTCCGGCTTGGGAGCTTTGATACCAATTGGAACTACGTAAGAAAATAAGAAACAATTCTATTGATAACAATCACCGCAATTACATTCTCATATCCTTTTGTTTATAAATATCAATCCCTTTAAAATGAAGAAACAAAATATACTCTAAAGATAATTTATCCTAAACAATACGAAGATCTTGAAGATATTTTTATACTAGTAAATCACTATTTACAACATGTATCTCTATTCCACTAAATAATTTTAGACTGAACCTCCCAAAAGGAAAAGCTCCTGACTAGTTTTTACCAGCTTAAACTTGAAACCAATTCTTACCGCCACTGCATTAAAATTTCCTTATTAGAAGGAAATAATGATGAAATTGGCTTAGTTGGAGGACCAGGATCCAACACCAGCATCTCTGCACTTCCTTTATCTCTTGATGAATTGTTTTATTTAAAGGAAAAAGATCATAGACTTTTTAAGTTATTGCGTTTTTTTGGTTTTGTAAGCTTGTTAGCAAGGAGGTGACACTCACTTGTACTTGTATTCATTTGAGGTTTTTTAGATCATCTGGTTATCCGAGATTCACATCCCTTTTATACTCAAGCATTACCCTATTTGTTGACATGTTACATGACTAAGTGCTTCATGTTGTTTATCTATCATATCATATGAATTTCCATTTCTTTGCATATAAATCATGGCATTTTCTTAAATAAGCTGATAACTTCTCATCAGTATCATCCCTTTTTGCCAAAATTTTCTCAGCTCCTGTACATTCTAATGAAATTTAACTGTAGCGACTCCTGATAATTATATATCTTTTATATATGTTTAGATATTAGAGAAAACATCGAGAGGCTTTGGATTATTAAATAATATCAACCTCAATTCTGTTTGTTTTAGGATAAAGATTGTCATTGAGAGACCAATGTCTGGAGATGAAACAGTTGTTGTGGAGTATCTATGTAATGCTTTATCTTGTTACTTATTTTTCATGGCACCATGAAGTGCATTGACTCTATAATATAAATATATTATAGTTTGCAATGCAAAATCATATGCAAACAACAGAAACTAATGCAATTTGCTAAAAGCAACCTTTTTATTTATGTTACTTGAAAAGAAGATGTTTCAGTACTCCTTAATTACTTGTTTGCCATTTAATGGTCATGGTCACTATGATAATGATAATAGATGATGGTTCATTGTTTCTGACATGTCTAATTATGGATGGCAATTCAATATCATAGTAAAGTTGTGGGAATTGTCCCAACTTTACTGTTGCTTTTTAAGAGTCTTCTTCCATTTGCTTTTTTGAACGTTAAATGGATCATTCAAGAAAGGTGCTTAAGTGCTGTTTATCTGAATCCATTAATCCAGAAACATCATTTATTTTTATATCACTATTAAGCATGGTTTTCTATTGAGCTAGCAGCTATCTTGGTGATGTTTTTGGAATTGCAACTTCTATCTATTATTTTATTAGTAGTTTTTTTGTTGGATTAAATTTCTGAAAATAAAAAAATAATGAATGTTCATACTGGCAGGGGGCTTGTAAATGACACATACAAGATGGACCTAATTCTTGTACATCCTCCGCATTTGATTGCTTTAGCTTGCATATACATTGCTAGTGTACTCAGGGAGAAAGACACCACTGCTTGGTTTGAAGAACTTCGGGTTGATATGAACGTGGTGAGTATTCTGCTATATTTCTAAATTATTTGTTGCATCCTGACTGTGTCTTAACCCATCCCTTTCTCCTTTTTAATTTTTTGTTTACTTTAATCAATATTATTGATAAATTTGACATTAATCATAAAATGTGCAACCTAAAATTCGAATGGTGATAGCCTGCTATAACTGCTGTGGAAGATGGCACCCGAATAGGATCAATTGCACAATCTTAAAATGAGAAAAATAGTTAATACTAATTAAACAAACAAATTTACACGGTTTTTCATGAAATGATTAGATGTATATTGTATAGTTCTGCTGGATCTAGAGACGTAGTCAAGAAAAATATAATTTTGGCTGGTTGGTCTTTTTCTTCCCATCTATTAGCAACATAGCCCAAACCTCTCAACCCAAGAGGAATAAAAGAAGCCCGACAACTTATTGGATTTTGTGTGACCACCTATTGCCACGTTTCACAGATGCTTCTAGACGATATATTGTTATAACTGGCAGCAGTTTTTCACAAGTAAAATTATTGTTAGATTCCATTTTCTGTTTCCATCTTGTGCGGTTCGCCAATGATTGGCACCAGCACTTGTGTATAAAAATCCTTTTATGGAATGGAAATTAGAGAGAAACATTTTCTATAGAAATGTTAGTCTTACTTATCAATTGGTCTGACCTACCATGGTTGAACACCATAATAAGTCTTCCACTGGCCACCTTGAGGATGCAATTCTGACTTTATCCAAAATCAGTCTACTCTGACTTCCAATCACCAGGATTTTTCACTCAAGTTTGATCCCATTCTTGAACATTTGTTCGCTCTTAATACTTCTGTCGCAACAATTTATTACATCTTGGCCAAGCTTTTTGCAAACACTTGAATATCGTTTTGCACTCTTCTTTTGTGATGATCCACAAGAAGCCCTATTCAAATTCATGGGTTTGTGAATACCGACTTTGAGCATTTAGCCAATTATTGTTGGATTGGATCCAATGATTCTCTGCAGTTGTTTCATTTTTTTACTTATGTCAAAATTTTTCCCTGAAGCCTAAGCCCTCCAGCCAATATCCCTTTCCAGGTAATGGCATTGGCAAAAGTCTATGATGGCATTTTCGTCCCTTTTGCAAAACCCACCCTGCATTAACCTCCCCTTTACTGACTCCATTGGCCCTCCCTCTTCCTTTTGCTCGTCAGGTTTGATTCAAGCATTTATCCCCTCTTGTGGACGTTGTTGCAAAGCACAAAATCTTCTTCTTCTTGCCAACGAGGATGATATGAATATGATGTATAAGATACTACATTGCTCCCACCAAATGATGCATACTTGCTGTCTTCTACCAAATATGCTTAAATGCGCTTTCCAGTGTGCCTGTGTCGAAGACTTTTAGTTTATACAGACAGATCTTGGTGAGCAGTGGTAGTGCTCCAAATATTGTTCAGTCATGGGTCGCCAAGTTCCTCATGCTCCCTATGATTTCCACTCCTTCCCTCAAGGTGATGGTTGGAAATGTTTCTTTTTTGCCTTGCCACCGCTCTGCAAGTGTCATTTGTCATTTAGGGTCACACATTTCCCGTTCACCTTCACATTCTTCCAATTGATGGTGCCGACATTGTGTTTGGAGTACATTGGCTAAAGTGCCTCGGTCCAATTACCACCTATTATGGGTCTCTTACCATGCATTTTTTCATTTGGACCATATTACTAGATGCAGACTTGGCTTGATGTGGCCTTGACCCAACAATTGCGTCCAGGTTTCAAACCCATGATGCAACTACTCTTCTTCACTAAGCCTTATCACCCACTCCATCCTCTTCTTCCTTATCGCCACTGTCTCACCCTATTCATGAGATTGCCACTGTAGGTGACACTGTCTTATCCCAATACGCAGCCATCTTTCACGCCATCACCATTGCTGTCTGGAAGTAGCACCACTATGTCTTAGGCCACCTTTTTATTTCTCTTATTGACCACAGGAGTCTTCGTGAAATGTCACAAGTTATTTAGACCCCGAATCAACAAACTTACCTATCCAAGTTACTAGGATATGACTAAACAATCCAATTTAAGTCTGGTGCATCTAATGTATTTGCAGATGCACTCTCTTGCATTTTGGAGGTTTCTACCGGGTCTTGATATCTCTCTCCCTACCAAATTTCACATTCTTGAAGTAATTGCTGCAATCCCTTGACACCAGTTTTGAATTTTGTTCCTTGCTCAGTCAAGTGATTCCAAATTGGATTATCAAATCCATCGTGATCATCTTTTCTACAAAGGCAAAATATGGCTCAAAGCTAACAACCCCTTTTGCATTGTGTTAAAAACCGTTGGGCGCCCACATGGGATTTGATAAGATGTTGCATCGGCTTTGGGTCAATTTTTGTTGGACCGCTATGCATGCTGATGTCAAAACTTGTGTGCTCAATGCCTTACCTACCAGTAAATGAAGTATGAAACCAAGTGCCTCGCCGTTATTTTTCAACCTTTTCCAACTCCAACATCTGTTTGTGAAGATCTTTCTCTTGAATTAAATTTTGGTTTGCTTCCATCCATCATATTTACTATGGTTTTGGTTGTAGTATTGTTTTCAAAAGTTATCCATCTCGGCTTGGTGCCTTCTAGTACACTATCGTCAAGGTTGCTTCCTTATTTTTTGATATGGTTTGCACGTTACATTTCCTCCCCTCTTTGTCAAGGCAGCCTTGTTTCTGATCATGGCCCCCTCTTTGTCAACTGCTGACATGAATTATTCCATATCTGTTGCACCAATTTCCAAATGATCACTGTTTACCATCTTGAATCAGATGGTCAAATTCGGGTTTTTAACCATCTCAAGCAATATCTGCGCTCGTTTGGGTTCCTCTCAAGTGGGGCTGTCGACTCCTACAGGGAATCTTATTCATATTTAGCTCCAACAGCAACTTTCAAAGTCACAAGATACTATAATTGGGTTTATGTTAAACCACGCCACTACTGCCAACTCTCAATCAGAGGTTCCCTCCATAAGCTTTCTAAGCGTTATTAACGCATGGCATCGTGGCCTATTGCATACAGCTACCTGCTTCATCAAAGTTACATCTGGTTTTCCATTGTTCCTTACTTAAGCAACATCGCCGTCCTACTCCCTCTTCATCTGTTTCTCTGCCACCTGTTTCTTGGATAGTTATCCTTTGGTTGAACATATTTACCTTTATTGGCCTATAAGCTCAACCCGCCCACTACTTTGGTCCTTGTTCAGTGGCTTGGTCTTATCCAAGAAGACATCAGCTGGGAATTGTTAGCAATATGGCCGAATCCTCTCCCAAACAAAGTAAGACAAAGAGGCCCAACAACTTACTGGACTTTGTGTGACCACCTATTGCCACGTTTCACATATGCTTCTAGAAGATATATTGTTATGACTGTCGGCAGTGCTTATTTCACAAATATGCATTATTGTTAAATTCCATTTTCTGTATCCATATTGTGCAGTTAGCCAGTCATTGGCACCAATACTTGTCTATAAAAACCATTTTGTGGAATGAACGTAAATCAGAGAGAAGCATTTTCTATAGAATTGTTAAAATTATAAAGAGAAGCATTGAACTGAAACTGTGTGATTCTGTGACAACACGGATGATTTATTTATATTAAACAAAAGAAATAAATACAATTAATAGAGGAGATTTGATATTCTCAAATAGAGATATAATCTTGATATTTATGATCATACAGACATAATAAAGATATGATCTTGATATTTGTTATAACAAATTTATGATTCTTGTTTCTTTAGTAATAGCGTAATTTAGATAGTTATTGGTGCTACTTAGCTGTAGCCCAACACCATCCTTTAGGGGTTGGGGATAGGTTCCCACCTCTAGTGTCAGTATCTTTAATAGGTCCGTCTCCGAAGGAGGCTAACTGTAGAGAAAGAAGAAAGGGATTGAGACTTGTTGAGGATAGGTTGGACAGCAAGGGGAAAGCATTGGATTATTCATAATTGAATGGCTTTATTTAATGTTTTGGGTGGCATCTTTCTCTTATGAACTCACCTTTATAGTATATGATACATCGATATGAGAATTTACAATGGGATAATTTTGAAACTTAAGTTTTCTGTGTTTAATGTTCTAGCATGCACTAGACTAGAATTCTTCTCATTTGTGTGATAAAGAAAAATATCTCTTATAAGTAATTGTTTATGTTCTTTTGGAAGGTTAAAAACATATCAATGGAGATACTTGATTTTTATGAAAGCCATAGAATGTTCACTGATGAAAGAATCAATGCTGCCCTCCAGAAGTTGACCATGAGACCCTAAAAGCTTACTTGAGATGAGTCAATGCTGAATAGTTGAATGAAATTAATGCTATGATGATGGCTGGTCTGAATGATCTTCTGGGTCCTGTTAGGAGAAAAGAGTGGGATGAAAATGGGGTATTCCTTGGTGGGAGGACCAGCTAGACTCCCATCTAGTTCATAGAATTTAGTTTTATCTAGTCGATTGCACTAAACATCATATCATTTTATTTTATTTTAATTAAATAGCCTGGTCCCCATAAACAGCCTACAATTTTGTATCTCTACACTGATTTTTTTAATTATTTAAAAAGTAATACACTGATACTTTATACATTAAATTATTTATTCATATATGCCATATAACTGTTTAATAAACAGAAAAATTACTTGTAAGATTAAATATCTCAAAAATATGAATATAATTTACTGAAAAGAAAAAAGGAGGACATTTGCTTTTGAATTGGAGAATCTTACTGATTTGTTCTTGAATAAGACATCTAGATCTGGTCGGCTGTCAATGGCTGCTTACTTTTGGTTACCAATCAATATCTTGTTACCAATCAATTAGGATATGTTTGTTTCATAAGAAATGACTTAGAAAAAAAATGATAAAAGTGATAATGAAAGAATATAATAACTTGTTTCCTCAAGCGCACTGTGGGTATCGAGTTTCATTCTTATTATTAATTAATGAAAAAAAATGTATTTACAGGAGACTCTATTTAAATTCAGTTTTATTATTATTATTATTATTATTATTATTATTATTATTATTATTATTATTATAAAACTAGTGAAATTTTGCATAAACAAAATAAATGTAAAATAATTAGAAAATAAGTTGATTAATGGAAATAATATATAATAAGAATATAATTTTTTACACAAAAGAATTAAAAATTTGTTCTCTAAAATACAACTTAACCATTATATGTATCAACTTTTTTTTACAATCTACTTCTATATAGTTATATTATTATTATTATTATTATTATTATTTTCTTTTCTCACTTGTCTAATTTTTATTTATCTTCTTTTTGTCCATATTATTATTATTATTATTATTATTATTATTATATATATATATATATATATAATTACTTTTTGATCATATTTTTCTTTGACTTCGTAAATAGTCTATTGTGTGTAAGATTTTGTTTTCATCCCATCAGAGTTAATTAATCAAAATATTTTTTAAGTAAAATTATGTTAAATATTTTGAATCATATATTAAAAAAAATTACAGTTATTCCAAACAACTATTGATTGAAAAACAAAATAATACATCACAAAACTTTTTTTTTTTTAATTATACCGATCATATACCAAATTTGATAAAGAATATAAAAAACTTCGTACTGTGCATGCGTTTAAGTTAAAATTTAAACATGTTTAGTTTTTAATTACAAAATTGAAAGCGAAGAAGATAAATGACACTAATGAAAGCGGTAAATTCTCTATTGACGACGCTTGTCGCTGAAGAGCCTCGTTATTTATCTCACTTAATTCATAAAAATTACAAAACTAGTTAAAATAATTAAAATATTTAATTTTCTTAAATTATTTTAGTTTTAATTTTTTAATATCTCAATTAATTAATACATTTATTGTTTTTTATGAAATTGTTTTTTTATTGGTTATGCATATAAATAATCAAAATACACTTTCAACATATATAAAACATTTATTTTATTTACTATTTATTAGACTTAGAAAAAGTGCTCATAATTAGAAGTAATTTTATAAAGACAATCAATGCAAGAGAATTTCCTAACATTAGTTTTCCAACGTTGATATCATTATTAATTAATATAAATTTCATTAAGGTTTCGTTTCGTCCTTAAGTTTCCAGTACATTGCCTCGCTATTTATTCTTTTAACGAGTCTTTTAAGAAAAAAATGTTTGATTGAATAATATGATTATAATTAGTAAAATTCTCTCTCGATCAACACCTATGTGTCAACAATTAAAGTAAATCATAGAATATTCTACTTCCATGTAATATTTTTAATATAAAAATAATTTTAGCTGCTTAAAAAAATATAAATAAAAGATTAAGTTGAATAGTTTTTATAAATACTTATTTATCTATAATAATTTTTTTTAAGTTTTTTCTAAAATATAATGAGACTTTGTTAGATTTTAGATTTGGAAATGGTAGGAGAAAACTAAAATACTAAGGAGAGATTAGGTCCGAACAAAACTTAAAATGAGTAAGTACTTTTTGTATTTTGTGATTTTGGTTATTTTTAAGTTTAAGAGGAAAATCCAGGTAATAAGATATATCTAGTTATATTGGAGTGGTTCTAAACATTGGACTGAACATCTACGTAGAGAAGTTAAGATTTAGGAATATTTGGGTGGGAAAGTTAATTATTTAAGTAATAATATGCTTGGAAATAAAATATATATGTTTTGGTGTGTTCATATTACATGTTTATGGTATAAATGAGTTGTATTGTTAGATATTGGGATGAAAAAAGGTTGGAAACATGAAAAACATTACTTCTCAACTCCATTGTTGGTTAAGCGAGGCATGTATCACTTCAGTGGAGACAAGGCATTAGAAAAGGTAGCTTAAGGCGATGGCTGTTCGGTCAAGCAAGACTCAAGTCGACTTAATTTTTTCTTAAGCAAAATGAAAGGAGAGAGAATTGATGTGACTAAATATTTGTTGAAGCAAAAATTGTAGGGTGCTTTTTGTTTGAACTTCTAATCATCATAAAAAAACAGTTCTAAACTCCAAATTCCACATTCTATATCTACAAAAAAACAATTATGGCAAAACATAATAGATAAAGGTCAAATCAGAATAATACATAATTATAACATTTAGTCAAAGTAAACCTAATTTATTATAAATGTAAAAAGATGACCTGTGTGATGAATTATAAGATCATATGACGATATTGTGTGTTCTTGATACTAAAATATATCTATTGAGATTTAGTCAAGTTGAAGAGTGATTCATAATCAATTAAGATATATCCTTGTATGTGAGGCTTAGTTGGGGCAAACGCTATGATCAAGAATCAACTGAAATGTATTGCTTATAGATACTCAAGAAGGTACTATATGGTGTTAGTTTGGTTACTATGCTTATATGGATTTAATGAGATCTTATGTTTCATTGGTAGTCCCAATTAAGTAGACTAAGGTATTAATAGGTAAAAAGTCAATAAATGATTATTGATGATTTGTCCTAAGATCACAAGAGAGGTGCACGAGGACAAGTAGTGTTGTTAGTAATCATACTCTATGGGTAGGAAAGTCAAAATGATTGATTTCCACTATTGTTCATGAAATCAAAGATAATAAGTTTACTCTAAAGATTTTGTAATATAAATTGTAAATCTAGATCATTCTTTTCAAGGACACGTACTAAAATATATTCAATTCTTAATATTTTGAAAATGTAGAACAAGAATTGTAAAGTAAAACAGAAATAAAAGGGATAGAAACCAAAATGAAAAAGATAAAGATGGACCAATCTACAAATTCTCAATCAAACAATTATCTTATTACAGTTCTTTAAAGATTTTCATCCAAGTTTGAACAATTAACCATTCAATTAATCAATTAAATCGATTATATGAATAAAATATCAATATCATTCTATCTAAACCATATCAAATCAAGATTCAATCAATTCTTAATTTGATTTCTAAAAATAACATTACAAATTGATATCACAATATGCAAAACTGAAATTAGAGAAGAGAGAAAAAAAATTCAGAGTGAAAAATGATTGGTGCAGAACTTACTTTAGCTAGTTTGATCTTGATTTCGTGAATTAATCCTTAAAATTTAGTTCTCCATGGGAAGAGTCAACAAAAAAAAAAGAGAAAAAGAAAGAAAATAGAAAATGTAGAGACACTTCATAAAATGAAAAACTAAACAAATGATTTACGGATATGAACTTAGAGCACATTTAGTCTATTTAAACACTCAAATTTGAAGTAAACACGAGCCTAAATGTAAACTCTAATTAGGTACATAAGCCCAACTATAAAAGTTAAGTTAATATAAAGGAAAATCAAATTCATATGAGCTCTTTACAAATTTTCAGCAAATTTGTCTCTAACTTCTGAAAATAGTAGAAAATAGCACAAAACTTTAAATCTAGAAAATCATATATCCATTTAATAGTCCTTAAAATTTAGAATCTAATGAAGCTGGAACCAACCAAAAGTAATAGTTGTAGAAAAATTTATAGTCAAAACAATGAACAAATGTTACATTAGCTAAAAATACAAAATTAAAGCAAATATGTGTTAGGTCTTTCAAGGGGAGACAACACCAATGAGACATGAGTCAAACTCACATAAGGGATTGACACCACTTCAACCCAAAACTTTAAGGCATTGAGTTATGGGTCTTTCTTCCTTATATGTTGTTCAACTTTGTTATTCTTACTCAATGTGGAACTTAGACTCACACTTGGGTTACTCAATAATCCCTCTCAAGATCACTAATGACCCTTTTATGTATCGTTGTTTATCATAATGTGACACAATTACCTGATCCACTATTACGAAGACTTTCGATATAAGGACAACTCTTTAACTACCGGTCACCATACAAACAATCGACTCATATACTACTGTTGGTTTTTTATTCCTTATATGTTGTTCAACTTTCTCATTCTTACTCAATGTAAGACTTAAACTCACATTTAGATTACCTAACAATATGTATATCAAACCCAGTTTATTATTACTAACTAGAAATAAGTTTAAAAATAAAAATAAAACATATGGAAAATACATTCATTATACAATGAAGCTATAAATGTGTGTACAAAATATGTGTTATCAAATGATGTCATATGAGTCATATGTAATATATTGTGTATGATGTGATGAGATATAATTGTGCAATATTACATGTGTGGTAGATTTGATTTTATGGGTAATTGTTATTTGAATAATTAACTTATCCTTATTTTCTTATTTATATGACTTAACTACTATAATTGTATTGATTACATGAGAGTAGATGATATTACGGGATAAAGA